GACAGGTCTGGGGAGTCGTGGCGCTGTCGCCTGGGAGGGGACAGGTCTGGGGAGTCGTGGCGCTTCCTTCTTGGCGGGGACAGGTCTGGGGAGTCGTGGCGCTGTCTCCTGGGAGCCAACAGGCCTGTGGAATCGTGGAGCTGTCGCCTGGGAGGGGACAGGTCCGGGGAGCCATGGCGCTGTTGCCCTGGAGGCAATTTGTTGGGGGAGTCGTGCCGCAGTCTCCTTGGCGGCGAGCTGTCTGGGGAGTCATGGCGCTGTTGCCTGGGAGGGGAGAAGGTGAAAAGGAGGGTTAGATTTTTGCTTGTTTTGCTGTCTGCAGACTGGAAACAAAAAACAATAGGGAGTTGTAAAGCTAGCTGTAGGGGTCAAGGATGAAGACAGCTTTCTGACAGCGAATTCATACTCGATTCTGCACCTCTGAGTAGTGAGCTGCATCACTGAGTCGCAGACTTCTAACAGCAGATGCCAGAAACCCTCCGAGGCAACCTGGATCCCAGGAAAGCTGTAATTCTCAAGTCTCCTGGGACACTTGCAACACTCAGACCACAAAACCTGTTTTCTGCCCTCGTCTAACCGTCTTCTCCCAAGGAAACGCCCCACCACTCTCTCAGAGAGCGGTGGTCGCTGTGCAACTGCTGCACATCCTACAGATGCTTTCAGAAAAGGGGCACGTTGTAACGCCACCGTCCTCACCACATTCCAGATCATCACCCAGACCTCTCCGACACTGTAAGAGAACTGCGGGAGAGCTGCTCGCCTATCATGCGGAAGCCTAGACAGCAGGCTGTCTGCCAGTCTTCACGTCCCAGGCAGAGGTTATTTAACAGCGGAAAAGGAATCCCTGCGTACACCGCTTCTCACGTTTCACAGCAAAGAGCTTAGAAACTGCAGAACAAGACAGACAATGCCAGAAAACAGGAGTTAACCGAGGGAAGAATTTTCAGTTGGAGTCCCGTACCTCACGGTAGATTTGGCAGGTGCCAAAACATCTGAACTTCGGGAGTCTTCATTCTGGTCTAAAGAAAAACAATCAGAAAGCCACCATTGTTAGGGCTCTGCACAGCTCACGATCTCCCCAGCATTTCAAGGATTACTTAGGGGTTTTTAGCCAATACTATTTTTAACTGGCAACGTCATTGTTTAGAGCAGTTAAACATTCAGGGAGAGAGGGCGGAAAGGTCTGGCCTCACCTCCTAAAAGTTTCCATTTCGTATTTGTTCGGAATTCCTCCATGAGCTTCACTTCATCTGGACGCTCATCAATAAATTCTGCCACCTGCAGATGAAACACCAGAGTAAACGGTACGGCTCTGAAGGAAAAAGAGAGAAAGGATTTCCACTCTCCAACACAAATAATTAAGCACAATGGCACTGATGGGCAACTGATGCGCAACCATCATTTAGCTGCCTTCCTACAGACAGCTCTCAAAACGACCCTCCAAAGCCTTCGCCTCCAACGTTTCTCTCCTTGCTGCCAAGACTTCCAGCCCGGGCCACAAGCCACGCTGCTGAGGTCCACGGGCCCCGGCGGTCGCACAGTTACCTTCTGCCTTGTCTTGGCACTCATGAAAATGCAAATACGTCAAGATCAGGCTACTTTTATCTGCAGGGAGATAATCTGACCCTCTTGTACTTGGACCAGGCAAACTCGCCCCTCCCTGCTGCAGAACCCACCGAAAGAGGCGGCAGTGAGAAAAGGTTGAGCCAGCGCCTCCCAAAGCGGGGCACGAGGAGGACGGATCTGGGTTGTGAAACCGCATTTGACATAATTCCCCCGCTCACCACTGGCATGTCCCCTTCGTCCTCCTCCTCCTCCTTCTCCTGGACAGCAGCAATGCTATTCCAGCTGACGTCGTCGTCCACGATCCGCATCCTGGGAACGGGGAGAAGGGCCCGGCCGTCAGGCCACCAGCAAGGGAGGGAACGGCCCGCAGCTGGCTATGGGAATGGGGAGACTCCCGGCCCGGGCTGGGGGGGCCCTG